GTGAATGACTACTTGTTCAAGAGTAGCATTTGTCGGAAAAAAGGTGAAGTGGAAATCAATGGAATAGATCCAGCCTTCAAATAAACGCAGTGAACTCTTTTTCATTTGCATCTTACTGTCTCAAAATTGATTTGCGAGCTTCTTAACTAAGGTTAAAAATGGATATTGAGGTAGCAATCTATTACAATGGCAAAATAAATTGAGATATAGGTTGATATAAGATGAATCTCAAAAATTCATTATGAGTTATCAGTTGAAACAAGGATTTTCTAATGTTAGTTGTCTCTAACAAACCTTTGTAGTTCATGCGGTCCTATAGCGGTGTGACTTTGTAGGCGGGTTGAAACGGACTCCGTGTATGAAAAGTCAAATTTTAATATTGAAAAGACAGCAGCGTAGAAAATCTCAAAATATGAACTTTATATTCAGAAGAGTATAGTAATGAAGACTTTGCGTAAGATCAGGTACCATAAATTTGAAACTGAAACTTAGGCTTTAGATTTGTCCTATGATAGATTCTACTTTTTTTCATTTACTTATGAAACTGCAACTTTACTGCAGCTTTAATATCTCAGAGGGCAATCTCTGTCACTTTCATTTTGCATGAGCAAACACAAACTCGTAACATTCTGTTGACGATGTCCACACTCTAAATTTAAAATCTTCTTTTCAAATCACTTTTTTTCTTTCTTACGGACGTTTTTTCTTTGCTGGCAAAGCTGATTAAACTTTGCAGCTTTTCGCCTCCTTTGCTGAATATTTAAAATTGCAAAAGTTGAGCCGGTGAATTTAGGAAGAATTGCAAGATTAATACTGAATAGTCATAGTTGAATATCATAAAATATGTTGTTACATAGATGTTATGAGTCAGAACCACACATGGTATCAACCACATGTAGTTTTTCTAACTCAAATTTGTTTCGAATTTATTCAGAGCAAGAACCAGTGATGCCGGCACAGCAGATGGCCTTCATTCCACAGAATCCCTTGTTCATTCCACCGGATACGCCACCAGCAACTCATCGTAAGAGAAAGCCAATTCCCTCTTGATTATAGATAACTCAGGAAGTAATAATAATGGATTTGTTCTAGCAAATGCCGGATTTTATCTGATTCCCGCATCTGGCGGTTGGATGCCTCCGATGATTCCC